CTTTCACCGACCCACGCACTGTAGGCGAGTAGTAAACCTACACAATGTAAAAGTCCCAACGATAGGTACACACCGGTTAACTAGGTTCGTAAATCACGGGCATTTTAAGACATTTACAGAGAAAGCTGAGTACATTTTGAGTAATTCCTTGTGTACACAGACTCTTACTAAGGTATGGCCACACCACGATCCTTTTTCCGTCTCTCGTTACCATTTCGTGTGGAGCCTACGCGTTAAATGTCAGGAAATTGCCGGATTATGTTATAACGACCACGCTCTGAGTGCAAGCTTTACGTAATTAAACGGCACCGTGCGAAACTGTGAGTTTGTATTTGCTTTGTTAAGCTCCGTAGGCGTTTTTGGTATGAATTGCAGACGTTCCTCTCGAGGGTATTGCAAAACTTTATGAAATAATCGTATTTCATTACAAAATCAAAAAAAGCTTGGATATTTCCAATTTCAAAGCGTTTCGCTGATTCCACTGTACGGGAGATTTAATTTTCTGTATATACGGATTCTCTGGTTCTCCTCCCCTGTTTCTCTCAAAGGATTCGCACTGCACGCGAAATTTTATTTATGGAGGTCGTTTCTAACGAATCTCGCACCGGTAGGAATATCAGTTTTGGTCGGAGGGCCTATAAATAAGCCACGACTTAATTGAGTTATTGCAATTTTTAGCTGAGTTTTTAATTGGACGGTGTTACTCCGTTTATTCGGATGTATGCCTGATGGAGCACTTTTAAATTGAATTATGTCCGGGTTATGACTCTTTTGTGTCCTGGTCGTGTCATGTTTCGGTGATTAAAAAGTTCATTGAAATACGCACAGTAATGAGATAAATTTGTTTTCATTTCTGTCGCAAAAACAACAATTCCAGTAATACATCGAATTGTGAAATCCGTTTCAAAACATCGTTCAAAAATAAAATAAAACAAGATCGCGTAATGAATCCACGCCAAAACAATTCACTTTTTCGCGTCGTTTCGGTTCTATTTTGGGTCTCGTTTCGAAAATAAAGCCATCGTAATAAAACTCATGACAAATTCTCCAGAAATTAATCTACCCACTGTCTCCCACCTAATGATTTGTGACGCGAAATTAGCGCAAAAAGCGTTCGGTATAAATCACGGTCGGTCGCGGCGGCGTCGGCATCGTCTGAAGTCTTCGGGGAACGGAGGCAGACGTCCTCCGCGGCCGACGAGGCGTCTCCCGACGTTATTACGGAAAAGAAGTTATTTCTCCCCGGTTCCAAGAAGATGATGGATGCTCTAGGACTCAATTATAAAAGGGGACGTGTGCGCGTGCTGCTGCCGGTAGCCCAGAGTCGCCGTCGGGTGAATGATGAGAGGGCTTAGCCGTGAAATGAGCCGCGAAACGAATGTTGCGCAGACGTTACTCTTCTTGCAGTTGCCAGTACTGTTCCAAGATCGTTACTGCTGTCCTAGAAATAGACGCATCCTATTCCTATTCACCTTGTTCCTTAAGTGGAAATTAATCACTTTACTGACTACATCTAAAACATCACTATGTTCCCGTATTTGTAATTTTGTTGTGTAACTTGAACATACAGGATTAAATTTGTTATTGAGGCAAAGGCCGATGTAATACTTTGAAATTCCGATGAGGACGTCGAATTCGTTGTCTGTCGTGTAAAAGTCAATCACGAAAAGGTCTCATTTGCATTTAAAAATTAGTGAAAACCAAAGCATCCGATCGTAGAATCCTTTCACGTCCTCGAGCTTTTGACGTTGTTACGTTGGAACGAAACAACGTTGTCGTCACTAACTCAATTGGTGCTGGCACACCCTCTATACAATTTGCCCTTCGTACCGTTACGGACACGTTTGGACAGGTTGTCGATAATACGATATCCGAAATACTTCGATAATCACAATTTTTCTATTCTTTCGAAAATTTACTTACAATATAAATTAACCTTTCGAAGATTAAATGGGGATCTTCCCTCGTAAATATAGAGCTTGGGGACCGCACGGTGGCCGCCCCTTCGTTAATGAAAACACAAACGGCCATAAATTACAATTAAAGTGGCCCCGGCTATTAGATATCTTAATTCGGCCATATGGTCGGTTCAACGTTCGTTAAAAAAAAATGAACGCTAAATTAGCGAGCGAAGGACTTCACGCGTGGAAGGGCCATTGTGCGGGTGAAGTACGGACCCCCTTCTCGGTGTCATCGTGCTGAGAAATTTATGGCCTCGCGACAAGAGCTACCAGATATAAGCTCAGTAAGCCGGTCGGCATATTTCACTCGTAGGGCCGATATAAAAGCGATCCTCCACGGGTGGGGGTAATTAATTTCGGGGCCAGTCGTTTACTGGATGACCTTTGGGATGTGTAAAAAAAGTCGGGTATCATTAGGATGGATCTTGAGGATTAAAGAGGGGATTTAAGTTATCTTCATAAATTGTTACGATTTTTGTCGGTTTACCAGTTCATTTACTTTACAAATTTAGTAAGATAATTAAATGAAGTTAATGGTGGATAAAATTGTCGCCGGTTTACAGTTTAATTTCACGGTGATTACATGGTTATTCAAGACAGATTTGTAAATCAAGGTTTGGAATGTTCCAAACCAAGTCGCGTTCGTTTCTGAAATGTACGCGTCGGGTGTAATGTGAAAGATGGCACATCCGTCGCGGGTAGCAATTTGGTTCCTGGTATAACATTACTTTTATGATTTCCCATGAGATATTCCAGCTATACCATCCACGTCCCATGGCGATGTCATAACTACATCAATAAGGGATCGGACACAAGCACCTCGTATAATTAGAGTGCGTTCTCAATATAAACTAAAATTCTCTTAAAATTTAACGATAATGAAGAATTTCTCAATAAACAATACGGACCCACAGAAAACATTTACGAGGAAAATAAACACGTTATTTTGGAGGCTAACTACTGCGTAGTCCGCTTTATGATTGCGGCCGGCCATACTAAACCATAAAAATGATACATAACGGTACGTAAACCCAGCTCTACGAAAATTTACGCCAGAGCTTTTTCGAGTTTTATGGATATCCATTGCCGAGGAAACAATTTACACTCGTCGATTAAATCATTTTTACTTTCTAGCATATACGAAGTTTATATTGAGAAATTACAGAAAAATTTATGATCACTTTTATTTAAAAAAAAGTTATTAAGAAGAATTTATATCAAGATCACTTTAGTTATTAAACTATATGTATATGTAGCTATATGTTGCATAAAGTAATAAAGATTTATTAGTAATAATCTTAATCCAATCAAGATTGTCATTAATAACAGACCTTACCTTCTTGGATAAATTAACCCCTATAGCTATATGTAGTTATAACGTGAACCACTTCTCTGGAATTAATCGATTCCACATCTCATGATTTATTGCGATTGATGACCACAACACCGACAACTCATCAATAATAGTAACAGGAAACGATTATTCGCCACGATCGGGCGAACCGGACAAAGAGGGCGACTTTTTCTCGAAACCCTTTACATTGGAAACGTATCAATTACCCGGAATCCTCCGAGATAGCCCCCGATTTAACGGGGAGGAAACCCCCCATAGCCTAGAGCTGGCGGTGGAAGTTAACCTGTACTATAAACTACCCTAATACCTATAGATACCGCTGGTAGAGGCATTGTGATATAGAGTGGCGTTACGCGGAGCAATCGCATTGTTCACCATTTGCATTCGAAGCGGCTGCAATGGTGGCTGGTATCGTCTCGTATGAAATACGAAACGTGTTTTTTCACATCTTGGAGATATGCGGGACTGTCCAGAGCCGGCCAGAAAAGCTGATAGATACGAGTTGGTACCTGCTTCTCGCATACTTATGACGTTCGGATTATATCTACAATTCTAATAGGCGAATTGTATGAGTTCGCTTTGCATACAACGTTCGTTTTGCAACGCCACTTTAGCCGCTTACCGTATTAGAGAGACGTGGTTTGCTGATGCCGCACGGCGGTGTTTGCCGAATTTACGTGAACATTTGCGTGATGTATGCGCATGTTTGATTGGATTCGAATTTGTTGCAATGTAATTGAATTGGAGATTGAATTCATGATGTAGGTAAAAGTTTTTTATTGAAGTTTACATATTACACTAAAAGCTTAAAACAAACAGATAAAATCGTATTCAATGCGTATTTTCAGAAAACTGGTTGTTTGTCTGAACGACTAACATAGTCTTCTCTGAGACGTCCATTGTCACCGCGTCTCCTCAAGACCAATTCCAGAAAGTAACGATCCCATTTTGGCCCTTTTCCAGGATCCTCTCCAACGACCATTATTTATCTTGTTCGCTTCGAGGGCTCCCGCTTTGATCCGCGGAATGCAGATGGTTGTCGTTATACAGGCTGTTCTGTTCGCGGGTAATTTACCCTCGGCACGTGTTAATCACGGGCGCTGACGTGTACCTTCCTCTAAAGTCCGAAAGGGCGACGTCTTGCTCCTCCTACAAAATCTTATTGCTTTTCTTTAAATACCATCAGTTAACACACTTGTCGTATGTTTATTAAAAGCTAAAATAAAGTAAAACTTCGATATAACGGAATAATACGGGGAAGGGAGTGTCCGTTATAACCAAAAGCCCGTAATATAAAAAAATTTTAATTTCCACTTTAAACTGAGTAAATAATCTTCACGCAAATTCGAACAGCTATCCACACCGTTGGGTTTTTTATTAATTAACTCTACTTTTAGCCCAATAAAAATATACAACAATTTAAGGCTGAATAACAATGAAAACTAGAATTAACATTAGACCTAGAACTAGAAACATTTTGGTTTAACCGTCTTAACCCTTTGTGTCCCAAGAAGTCAAAAACTTTGAAACTTTGTGACAAAATTATATCTAAAGTTATATCTAAATTTGAGATCAAGTAATCATGATCTCCTCTTTTCATTCGTAAACTAAGGTTTTTGCAATTTTCAGTTTTTCCAGTTTCCAATTTCTTTATGTATCCTTTCTTATCTGCTAAGCACCAGAGCTTATAAACCCAATTGTTTTACACTTGACCTCCCTTTGAAGATTATCATGGATTCATCCACAACCAACTGGCTAGTGCCATGATAATACCTGCAGAGCTGACGGTTAAGTGTTTTAAAATTTAGACGGATCTTGTATAGTTTATCCGTATTGTTCTTAGGAATAATGCTGTTATCGTTGACATGCAGATATGATAAAATCTCCTGAAACTTATTACGGGTCATTGTTCGTACGACAAGTGGTACACCCAAGTCTTCAGCATTACTCCAGAAGAGTTCATAGCTTGGCAAACTGTGATAACCCATTAAGAAATTTTTGCCAATAAAACACAGCAACTCTTCTTCTTTCAAGTTTAGCGTTTTATTCCTTTGGGTGACGTTCAAATTACTTTGAAAGGTAATCTCTTTTACACAGTTACTCATCAGTGTTAGAAAATAATCTGTAGGATTATTGCAAGTTGCAAAAGTATCACCAATTATTTCCTCTGGATAATCGTATCCTGGAATTTCAGTCTTTTTTTCCCGTTTTCTCCATTTTCTATCAATTTCTGCCTTGTTCTTTTTCTCGGGCCCTTTCCCACGTATTTCTACTACATCAGTGTCACTTTCCTCATTTTGATTAGTTAGTTGTTCTACTTCTTCATCTTCCAGCATAGATATTTCACTAGCACTAGTAATAACAATGTCATCTTCTTCATCTTCTATGTCTGTCTGTTCAGAATTATCCAATGGGAGATTTTCTAATTCAACACAAACTTTTGCAGCCTCAACCAAAAATTCTTCATCAGTCAAAACTTTGTTCAAGTACCAAGACGTATTCGCTTTGCTCATTTTTACATCAATCTCAATATTGTACGTGTTATTATCCTGACGGTACTTTTACGTACCAAACACAAAATGTGTATATGTAGACACATGGAATAGGGCAACTTAAGGAAAATGTAAAAAAAAAGTATAATATAATGTGATGTAAAGTTAATGCTAAAATAAACAATTTTAAAACAATACAATTACGTAAATCCAAATTTTCCATACAGGTTTATTAGATTTGCATGTATACATTTTGCTACTGCTTACGTGACCCTTCCCCTTTATTGCGGTACGTTTACTAACAGCGTTCGATGTAAGTACAGCAACCCTGGCTTTCAGCCAACATACACGCAGCACTCACCTAATGAATCATAGAGTCTGATCCTGAACATACCGCGTATAATTTGCTTGGAAAATTAATAGTAAACATTTTGGGCGTTTGAACTTTGTGGCATTAATACGTTACGGTTACGGGGTGCGGAGTAAATTTATCCGCGCGTTCTCGAGTGTACCGGAGGCGAAATAAACCAGCGATAGAGAGAGAGAAGTAGTAGAGACGGTTTCTGCACAAAGCGGCCCCCAGGCCGTAAAACTCTTTCAACGCTGCGTACGACATCGACGATTTCCATAAAATATTTAGCGGTCTTTGAAGTGCCGGTAGGAGGAGCCTGGCAACTATGGGAACTACAGATTCCAGCCAAAAGTCTCCGTACGAGTTACTTTATGTTACGGTTATCAAAAGAAATGGTTCTATTCCTAGTGGTACGTGCAACGACGCTCATATTTTTATTACACCGCGTTGGCGTCGGTTTTCAGTGAGAATGCAACCGCACATTTGCATATTTAATAATGAGGCGGTGGGCAATAAATGTTTACGAGCGGCGAGCGCGTACTTCCGGCTACCGCAACTCCCTTATTAGACGAAATAATTTAAATCCACGCTATAGTAAAGTTTACAGCATCAAGGCATCCAGGAATCGCCTCTTAGAGACCTCGTCGTCACCCGACTTCCATAACGACACAAGACGAAAACGTGTTTACGAGGTAAATTATATCACAATATGAATGCCAAACTGCTATCGGCGTTGGCTCCCACCAGAGCATCATAAAACGCTCCTTTATATCAACATCAAAGTTAATCTAAGGATGTAAAGTAAACTAAATTAAGTTAATGAAATTAGTTTTGAAGTTGATTTATTAATTTATTCACTCATTTATCTAAAGTGAAACATTGTTAATTGAAACAATTTATCACGATATAGGATTCTATTACACAGATACATCCAATGGGATTATTTTGACACTACGTGTTTAATTACCGGTTTGGTAGCGTTGTTTCAGACCCTAATTCTCCGTTTACAAACGCTGTTATTGACTTTCTCAGTGGTTGTCGCCAAACGGGACGAAATTGGTATCACGACAGAAGCCTGAATTAGCAATTTAGCTTAATTGAGACTTGTACTAGTCGCCGGGCCGTCATCTTGTGGTTAAGGTGCCTAAACTCAAATATTTACTTGGGATTTCTTGGGTACTAAACATGAGCTTAGAATCTACTCAAGTTACATTTCGTGGCAATTTAATTAATTGAAGCTGCGTGTACTGTAACAATGTATTTTTATCAGAAAGGTTTGATGGTGTGAAGACATCTCTTGTTTTTGGGAGGTGGTTTTGTGTTTTACTTTGCTAATTTGAGGCTTTAAGAAGCTGTGAATTATTTACGACTAAATCCGACGGTAGCCATTAGCACCTAGCGTCGAAAAAGAAAGCTGGCGTTAATGGAAATTAAAAATTTATTCACCTGAAAGGTCTCTGATGAACGCCGAATTCAATCGACTGCTTGGAGACGCAGTGTTAAATCGGTTTAAGTTTTTTAAGTAATTTCTATCAAATTAATTGTAACGATGATGTTCTTTTAATATAAAAAAGTTCAATCTCTGCGAATTACATCAAACTCTAGCCGAGATCAGTGGATGAACGGGAGCTTTCGTAATTTCTTCGCGTCATTTATTAGAGCTTCCGTGGATCGTAAAGTCTGACGACTGTAGGCTAGTTCGATCCGGCGATATTGAAACACATAAAGAGGACCTCGGGTCAAAAGGACGGTTTACACTCGAATTGCTATTTATTACCGGCCGAGCACGGCCCACTTCGCCGATATTAGAAATTTATCTCTGCGATAAGTTTCCGGTGGAAGGCCAATTTAATGGACGTATACTGATAATTCCTCCTAGAGCAACCGGATGTTGGATATAACCACGATTCTTCCATTTGGTTAGGATTAATTAGAATTTCAAACTTATTTAATTTTAACAAGGTCAATATTCTGAAATGATGAGATTAATCTATTGGGGATAGGTGAAATTTGTCGTCATTTATAGACATAAAAGCAAAGTGATGGTATCGTTGGTAGAGGTCGCTTTCAAATCGATTATTTGCCCTTATAATTAATTTATGTCCCCACTCTTGAACATAAGCGGATCACACCTACTTAGTGACGGTAGCGTCGGGTTCTGATTAACCAAGGCAATGAAAACTGATGGTCGTCTCCGCCCCTCATCTCATTTTAGTATATTGAGGCCAACCCAAATTCTTACCTGACGTTTGATGAGTCACGAAACATAAATAAATTGACTAAAATAAATGCATTGATACAAGTTGTGTATCAATTAGATCTGTGCAAAGATCGTAATCATACGATAAACTGCAAATCCCAATGGACACGATATTCGCAACTTCATGAGACAGAGTTACCTCTGATATATCGCACCAGATCGACGCAACGGATGGCTATTTTGCACATGACGTCTATTTACATAAATTTCGACCGGGTTCAGAGATAACGACCGGGAATGTAAAACGTCACGGTGCATTATCGGACTCTGTAACGCATGTACAAGCTTTCCTGAAACCCGGCGTCGATGGAAACGTCAATAATGTGTGTAGCCCCGAACGCAAATGTATGGAACCCGCACCAACTAATCTGACCTTAACTTCCACACACCTGATCTGGATTTCTGAACCATTTCTATTGGGATACTCCAGTTGTTTAACATAACCGAATCCTTTATACCTATTGAGTCACGGGGACCATGCGTTTATATATCGCATGCGTATATCGAAACCGTGCTCAATAATAGATAACGTTAATGGGACTGGTAGTAGCTGCGCTTCGCCTAGGGAATTAAGTCATTGGGCCGTTGTGAGTAGGCCGGGCTCTGGCGACTGTTTGTAGAACTATTGGATATGGAGATCCGGCTAGCCTTCGTAATTGTGCTTCTGCCCGATCGAACCGGTTGTGTACTTAATTAATTAATCGTTGCTGTGACCTAATGGGTTTATGGATCTCAAACATCGAAACAGGATTTACAAACACCGTTTCTTAACGATTTAATCCGTTCGTATATTCATCGGGGGTATTGAACACTCTTAACGCTTGAGGCGGTTTATATACGATATATCATTTAGAAATCGGTTGGAAATGATTCCAAATAGTTCTTAAATACATCATTAACTCATTAAATGGGCATACATACACTGAATTCAGTTGTCAGTCAGTTTATGTCATGACAAAAATTAATAAGCTCTAAAATAATTCTCTTCAATAACAACTTCAATTCACAACATTAACAAAGTTACAACCAACAATTTTTTTGCCGGTTGCAGCCCATCTTTTATTACATCTTGCCTTTAGACACAATGTTTTTTTTCATTGTTATTAAATGCTGTGGGAGTCTTAAGAACAACTTCCAGTATTTCATCTGCGTTTAAAGCTTCCAATCCTATCATCTAATCCAACTTCACCAATTGAGTGTGCTATTGTAATAATGTTGGGAAATTCGGTTGAATTAAGAATGATGGAATGGTTGTATTAAATCACTTTCAAAACGCACTTAATGTTGTAGGTTTTAAATCATTCAACGCTAATCCAACGTATTTGATATAATCCATAACTGAGAATTAGTTTCGCAAATCAATGATGTTAGTGTTTAGGTGTTTTATAAACGCATGACGAGAGCATTGTCGAGAATCAAAAGAACATTAAATTTGAGATCTTTCAAATTCACATATCATTCAGGAACGAAACGTCACACCTAGGTTATCTTATTTGTCATCCAATTAACAGGTTGTTCACTAGTATCTATACTCTTCCTTAGACTTGGTTTTAGGACTCGATCCACTATCAGCTTTTTGTTCCAAAGGAATGGTTTTTTTATCTTCACGTTTATCTTCACTAATCTTTGCTAGTTCCTGGAGAAATGTTTTTGCCGCCATTTCATCTGCCGATGCAGTTTTACCTTTCATTTTTATATTATGATCAACTTGTATTGCAGAAAATTGTGTGTCGTTGTTTGGTTGATTGAGATATAAACTGCTGGCTTTTTGTCTTCAATCTTTCTATTATTACGTAGTGCTGTTTGCATGTTGGCATTTCTATCTATTTGCACTATTTTCTGTGTCATATCTCCCATCCATATTGGAACTATTAGAACTATTTCCATTTTTTACTTAACTTTATTCCTTGTATGTATACAAGGAATACTTGTATATAGATGATTCTTTTGATGACATCTTTTCTTACTTTTGTGCCAGAACATAGGGACTTCTTAATGGCAGCTTCATTTATTTTGATTTTGTTATCATAATGGCAATGGCAGTCTTATGTAGACCAAAATTTTTGGCATTTACCATATGCCGAAGTGTGAACGATATCAAGGTCCAAATAGTAAAGTAAGTATTGATTATTTTCTTAAAACTGAATTGGCATACCTTTATATCGCTAAACATTATCTCTGATATTTTTTAATATTATTACACATTTTCTTACTGAATGAAATCCGGTCTTTTTCATTATTGTCTCCGGCATCATTCTACGTTGTTTTTGGGATCTCTTTACACCGAACTAAACCCTTGTACCTATAGCTTCATGAATCATGAATGATTTGGAGGTTTCATAGGTTTTTTATATCTGATATAATTTAAAGCTTGCTTGGAGTCTTCGTTTTCAGTTAATAGATTTGTTA